TAAATAAATAAATAAATGGGGGCCAGCATCTGTTTGGTTACCCACATTCTTCAAAATATCGTATTTTATGTTCAGCAGAAGAAACAAGTTCATACAGCTATGGAAAAATTGGGGGATAGTAAGTAAATGATGTAAACGATGACAGAATTTTTATTTTTGGGTGAACTTTCAACCAGTAGCTTAAGTTTAGAAGTATACACTAAATTATATTATAATAAATTATATAAACAAATTATATTAATCATTATCTATATTTAAAATTACATTTACATTTAGTCATTTAGCAGACACTTTTATCCAAAGCAACTTACAAACAACAATAGAAACAATCAAAATCAACAAAAGGGCAATAATATATACTGTAAGTGCTGTGACAGGTCACAGTTAGCCTAACGCAGTCAATGTAGCAAGTTTGTATTTTTTTTTATAATAAATGAAAAGAAAAGAAGACATAATAGAAAAAAAGTAGAGAATGCTAGTGTTAGAAAAAGTAGTACGAATAGAAATAGAATAGAGAGCGCAAGTGTTAAATAACGTTGGAACAGATGTGTTTTTAGTCATTTCTTGAAGATGGTTAAGGACTCAGCTGCTCGGATTGAGTTGGGCAGGTCATTCCACCAGGAGAGAACAGTTAATGAAAAAGTCAGTGAAAGTGAGTTTGTGCCTCTTTGAGATCACACAATAATGCATCGTTCACTTGCAGAACGCACGCTTCTAGAGGCACATAACTCTGAAGTAATGAATTTAGGTAAAGGGGTGCAGAGCCAGTGGTGGTTTTGAAGGCAAACATTAATGCTTTGAATTTTATGCGAGCAGCTACTGGTAGCCAGTGCAAATTGATGAACAGGTGTGACATGCATTATTTTTGGCTCGTTAAAGACTAATCTTGCAGCTGCATTCTGGATTAGTTGTAGAGGTTTGATAGAAGTGGCTGGAAGACCTGCTAAAAAAAGCATTGCAATAGTCCAGCCTGGATAGAACAAGAGCTTGAACAAGGAGTTGTGTAACATGTTCCAGAAGAAAGGGCCTGATCTTCCTAAGGTTGTATAAAGCAAATCTGCAGGACCGGGCAGTTTTAGCAATGTGGTCTGAGAAAGTTAGCTGATTATCAATCAAAACTCCAAGGTTTCTGGCTGTTTTTGAAGGAGATATGGTTGATGTGCCTAACTGGATGGTGAAACTGTGATGAAGTGATGTGTTTGTTGAAACCACAAGCAGTTCTGTCTTAGCCAGGTTGAGTTGAAGGTGATGGTCCGTCATCCAACAAGAAATTATGCTGAGATGCGAGCAGCTATCGTCGAATCATCAGGATGGAATGAGAGGTAGTGTTGAGTGTCATCAGCATAGCAGTGATATGAAAAGCTATTTTTCTGAATGACAGAACCTAGTGATGCCATGTAGACAGAGGGTCCAAAGTGGTCCAAGTACTGAGCCCTGAGGTACCCCAGTAGCTAGATGTTGCGACTTGGACACCTCACCCCTCCGAGATGCCTTGAAAAACCTATCTGAGAGGTAAGACTCAAACCACTGATTGCAGTTTCTGAGGTGCCCTTTGCCAACTGGGTTGACAGGAGGATCTGGTAGATAACCGTGTCAAAAGCAGTGGACAGATGCAGCAAGATAATTAAGCATCTAAAACATTTAAAGTTGTTGAAAAAGTTGTTTATGGCCAAGTCTGCAATTAAAATAAATAAATTAAAATATAGAAATTAAATCAAAATATAGTATTAAACTAATGTTTTGAAATGTTACTGCAATAAAAAAAAAAGTTTTCTATTTTCATAGAAATAATTATAAAGAACAGTGGAAAAATAAATTTTCAAATGTTTTGCCTGATAGTGCATCAATTATATTTACTTTAAAATGTACTTCACTGTGAAGTAAATCTGTTGTGTAGTTTTATGAATAAAAAAAAAAAAAGTTGAATTAAATTTGCGTACTTTTTGTGACTTGACCAGTGCAAAATCAGAATATTGTATTTCAGGGTTACCACCTGTAATATATTTACATGTTCTTTGTGTTTTCATTCATATACAACATAAAACGCACTGGGACACTGTAAAATGTGGGTAAAAGCTTCTAAAGCAGCTGTGACTTTTATTTTGTACAGGGTCATTTCACATGTATTTTACAATTTTTATTACAAAATTATTTACACAAATCAAAGTATTATTGTACCACTGTAGATTTGAGGCACAAATGAATGAATTGTGTACATAAAGCAATCCAAGACTTCCCTCTGCTTTACAGCAAACAGCATGACCACCAACCAAATAATGTATTATCTGAATCATTCCAGTGGATTTCATTCATACATTTTTTTAAGAAATACTGCTGAAAGGTGCATCTGTGCAACCAAAACAAAATATTCGACATCGACCTGTGGTCATTACGATCACAATAACCAGCTTCATTAAATTAAATCACTATGAGAGTCTTTGGGAAAGTTGATCAGCAAAACATATGAATACAAACAGTCAGTGATTTCATCCACATGAAAAAGACATCCACATGAAAGCTTAAAAAAAAAAGATCAAAAAGTCCATGTATGACACTAAAAATATTTGATAGAATAGATTCACAGTGTAAAATATCAGAGACAATTCTGAAGATGTAATTCTTTTTTGAGGTTGACAAACAGGCTATAAAGCCAATAAGTTCTTGATGAAATAATCTGTATAAGTGGCCATGGTTATGATGGTTGGGATTATGTTTTTTTAACAGAAGGCAAATGCAAATTAAAAGTCACGTGCTATTACATGAAAAGCTTGTTCACTTCAAACTCAACATGCAAGATTCTGAATTGTTTGTGGTGTCCATGCCAAATTATCCTGTGAAAATTCATTTTTAGGCATTAGTACATTAGTGCGCTGAGTAATAAAGGTCTATTCAAATACAAACACAATAAAACTGACAAAACTGACCATAATTGTCTATGTTACATTTAAATAACCCAATTAAAAGGACCTTAGTTACGGTAGATGCTTCATTTAATTTGAACCAAATGAAAGTTATATGAAAATTAAAATAGGACAATGTTAAACATCTACCCTGACTAAGGGAACATATGCTTCTCCTTTACTGTAGCACAAAACAGAGAGTAAAGGAAACATTTCCTCACTATATAACCACCAGTACAAGTTCAGAATGTGAGATAAATGAAACATAAAACATGGCTGTTCTGAATGACAACAGTAGAGAAACAAGATCATGTGACTAAATGAACACCTTCTATGATGCATTTGTTGTCACAACAATGTGAGAACAGACAGTAGGATCTATGCCACTTTCCTTTTTAACGGTCTTCAGAGACTCTAAAATGCTGGGATGGCATTGTAAGCATATGAGATTGTAAGCTCAAACTCGCAAGATTGTCTCTTTTCGAGCACATGAGCCAACCAAATCGACTTAAAGGCAGATTTAAATGCTAAAAAGCAGCAAAAATGTGTGGATATTTGCTGGCAAAAGAAAAAAAACTAAATTCCGGCATGTTGTTTGTTGCTTAAGCTCTAGAATCGAACTGTTAGTACGCAACATAATATTGTTAAAATTGTCTGATTCATACAAAGACGTTTAAGAAATGAGGCATTCCAAAAGTGAAAAGAAATTCAAACTCAGGAACCTTTTTTTTTTTTTTTTTTAAATGTGAGCAGCTGTCCAAACCATGCTCTTGTTTAGGTACTAACATTTTTTTAATTATTTTGTCAATGGCAGACATGAATAGAAGATGCATGTGTCTTTTTCTTTTATTTGATGCTTGCCAAAATTTTACTACAATTCACTGGTACGGCAATGACGCCATATATTACTTCAAAGGACAATGAAATCAAATGTTTGATGGGTACATATATAGTTGCATCTAGCACAAATGTGCATTGATCAGCCCAAAATTGTATGACAGCATGGCTGTACCACAGGTGCATCATGCATGTTTTTGCTCGACTCAAAATGGGGGAGGCTCGTGCCTCTGTATGCGTCTCTCTGCTGCGGCCGCCATTCTTCTGCGCCTCAAGGTCACGGAATCTGAGTCTTCATCCTCCATGGAGGGCATGGCATCATCATTATCAGCGGCAGAAGCAAAAAACAGATCTTCTTCATCAGATTTTTTGTGTAGATAACGTCTAACAAAGAGAGAACACAGTGTCATACTAAAACTTAACAGGACTTTAAGCAAAGCCTTGGGGTACTCCTACTGATGACTGAAGATTCTGTAAAGCTTTTCACTATGTCCGACAAATGACAGACTGTAAGTCATATATTTCCAACAGAGAGCAGTACCAGTGCAGTGTACCATATGCAGATTTTTCAGACCCGATGTGAGCTTTGTTTGTTAAAATGAGTGGTTATGGATATTTGGCATTTTTTAAATATCGGCATCGGCCGATAAGTTTTTCTGTTTGGCCGATACGTACAAGGTGGGACTTTTATTTTGACGGCGCTGAGCACACAGTGTCCACATTCTCCCTCTTGTTCACCGTCGTCGTTAACAGTTCTGTCTTATACGGATAGAAGTCTGTCTAATAATCCGATATAACTGTTAAACAAAGGAATAAAAATGTATACAAAAAGTATTATAACGATTGCTTTTATATTATTAGTAAAAAAAATGCAAACATTATAATACTTTCTCGTTTGCCGTCAGCATTCAGCAAATATACATTTACATCATTTAAACAAATCTTTGAACGGCTAATGAAAATTTAATTTCACAAACCTTGCAAACTTAAGTCAAATCCAGTTGAGAGATCTTGTGAAGTGTGCATGTGAACTGCATGATCAAGTGTTCTCTGCGTGACTTTCAGTCCATGGAAATTGAATGCTTTAAACATTAAATTTGTGATTTCAAATTATGCTGCGCTTTATGCATTTGTCCACTGTCATATTCATGTCATTTTCACTGTGTGCGGTATGTAAAATGAGTGTTACCTTGGCTTTATTTGAAAAAAATATGATTCCCAACGCACACAAACTTCCCAGAATACTGAGTGCTTGGTTACAGTTTAATTCCTTTTTAATTATATTTTTATTAAATATTTATTTATTTGTGGAAAATACTTTGTCATCTAAAGTATAAATATGAGTATAAGTATAATCCATTTTCAAATGACTTCAAATTTCTTAAATATTAATTAAAATAAATACAATTATATCGGCCATCAGCCACCCTGCTTTCCAAGATATCAGTCGACCACTAGTTAAAATATTTGAACTTTTGCGGCTAGACCATATGTGAACACTCAACTTAATGTAACGTAATCTAATCAGATAAGACTTACTGGTATTTTCTAGGGGTGCAATGGTTCAAATTACTCATGGTTCAGTTTCTATCACGTTTTTAGAGTCAAGGTTTCGGTACGGTTCGGTATGTGCTATGTTTAGGGACAAAAGGACTCAGTTATTAATAACTTTTTTCTGAAATAATAATTACATTATTTGTTACCTTCATTAGCCCTAGAAAACCTGCTATGTTTTCTTTAAAACTTATATGTGGAATTTTTTTTGTGTGTGGATATATTCATACAATCATTCAACCATGGTGAATAAACAAAAGTTCAAATCTACCATACAATCAATTTGAAAGTTCTGTGCAACTGCCACTAGGGGGCGAAATGCAACAGTCATATGAAAATGGCGGTGATAGTGAAAAGACGGCTTACCTGTTACTTGCAAAATATAGCAAAGCAATATAAGCTGTTGAGCTCAGACTTGTTAAGAAGTTATAGGGAGGTTCACCTGCGCGCTCTTTGGAGTAGCTCCTCCTTCCTCTGCATTAGCATCCTCTGCCTCTCATCTGCGGACTTGGAAAAGCGGCTCCCCCGCACCTCAAAGTCTTCCGGCTCAGGGGCAGCGACCTCTGAACTGCCGCTGGCACCCGCTGACTCTTCAGGAGCAGTGTTCACCTGTATGGGTGTGCGCTCCAGGGTCTAGAGGAGAGAAACTTTCAAATTAGTAGTGTTTTTGTTGTTTCTATGCAAACAACATATGATTTCAGCAGCTAATAAACACCTTTTGGTAGAAGTGTTAACCTCACCTGTAATGGGAAAGGCACCTGGATCCTGCCCTCCAGGATGTTATCAGTGGTGACCTCAACAGAGCGTGTGAGCTGCAAATCCTGCAGGATCAGATGATAAGGGACCTGTGGAAACATTTCCTGAATCTGATGGGCCTGTGAAATCCAAGGAAAGCCAGGTTTATAACACGTGGAGAACAGATGAGGCTGTTTGGAAACATGCTGGATGCCAGCAGAAGGACTCACCATGGCATTGAGCTGTGAGTTGTTGGCCTGTGCGATACCAAGGATGTTGGTGGTGTGCATGACTTCCACAGAGAAACTTGGCAGCCAACTGGCAATGCGGGACCCTGAGGGTGAACGAGTGGAAGTTAATATCTCATATGATGCTTTAATTACCGTACGCTTATTCGTTTCAGAGGTTATTAAAAATATTAATAATATATATGGAACATCCAAATAATCAATGTTATATTTTATTTGATTTTCACATCGATTAATTAAATGTATGATTTATTGATTTTTCCTTAAGTACTTACTCATTGCTGTTCACTCATTTATGTTTATCTTTTAGTTTTGTTTGATTTATGTTTTTATGTAATATTTGTAGTATTCTCCAAAAACATATATGTTATGCACATTTCATATATGTTTGAAAGATATATCTTCTTTACTGTTGTTTTGTTAAATATTGGAAATCTTTCAACTACTGCCCGAGTAATAATGTTTCTCAGAATTAGTCATTAACACTTCTAGATGTTCTTTTCCAGAAGCAGTGTTTTTGTAATATGTAAGATATATTTGAAAGTGCTTGTTTTGCTGTATTTGTTCTAAAGGTGTGAAAACCATGTCTAGCCACACATCTGTTTATTTTTGTAACCGCAACATCTGACTGGTTATGATGACCCGCCCAACAACATATGACACAATGGATGAGTGACATAATGGATAAGTCTATTCGACCTTTTCTTATTAGACATAAACACCAGTTTGGGAGGATGTAAGTTTCCTGCATACATATATACCTTGTGCCTACTTTGATGGCTTACTTTTACTCTTTTCTTCTCCTTCTTTCTTCCGTTTCGGTTTCTTTTCCCCTCTCCTTGTATTCTACTTATATCTTACTTCTTTTGGGCTTTTCTTCTGATATGCACTACTTCATCCCTTAGATATAAAAATGTGGAATACTCTGCACTTTAGTATAAATAATTGAATAAAATAGATAATTTTGTTTAAACTTACTTCCTATTATAATTTTCATATTTACTTTATTGCATCAATTTTTATTTAATAAATTAGTTTTTCCTCATTTGAAAATTGATCTGACTCGTCCTGCAATATCACAAAGAGTGAAAAATTTAAGGGGGTCTGAATACTTTCCGTACCCACTGTATATATATATACACACACACACATTATTAAAAATACTTTGTGCAGTCATACAGTGTTTTGTATTTACTTTTTTCTGAACTATCCATTTAAACAGGCTTTTTGCTATTGTATCAGTAAGACTTCAATATGTAAATGTTCTCTGCTCTGATTGGCTAACCTTTGTTCACTGTTGTTCATCAAGGCGGATCCACTTGCTCAGCACTGAATGGGCATTATGTAAGTTAATGATAAGCATATGATAGTTGACAAGCTTTTGGCGATGATGTCTTAAACATGATTTCTGAAGGAGCCACTGCTATAGCTAAGGTTGGGTACCGAACTTGGTACTTTTAAGGGTACCGACCGAATTGCGTCAGTACTACCGAGTACCGATTCACGTTAAATCAATCGGCGCCAAATTTCATTAACTGTGAACGCTTTATCTGGGCGCATACGCTACAGAGAGAGAAAGAGAGACCCTGTGACGTGAGGTCACCCCTGCAACTCGTTCAAACAACACACAGGGCAAGCTGAAATGTTCTGAAGTGTGGTTACATTTCTAGGGCCATATGGTTTCTGCGAAAACGCGGACGGGATCGTGGAGTCCATTCATAAAAACGCAATTTACTCTATAGCGCGGAATGCCACGGAATTCGTCAATTTTGGGCGAATAAATCAAAAGTAGGTCTGCCACTTAATTCAAATCGTGATATGAACTAGTGTCTGTGAATATTAAAATGCAAAAAGATGGTTTAAATATGAATCCTGCATGTTCCGCTTGCCTCTGTATGTATGAATGGCGGAAATGCGGTTTTGTTTACTACACAAATACTGACGCACGCTTGACGCTCGCGGTGATTTTCGGCCTCTGCGTCTCACTGTATGACGGCATGAACACAAAAACGTATTCCCCAGAGCTGCTGTGAGAGTCACTTCGCGAGAATTTTACAGTTTCATTTGAGAAAACTAGCATCATCATACTGTATACACACAGAAACTTCATGGCAACCTGCCAAAATAAAAGTACGGTTTAACATGTAACAGAAATATATTACTCTTGTATTACTTTTGTACAGTATAATGTACATCTTTAAATATTCCATTTTCTATCAAATTTAAATAAAACAATGAAATGATAAAAATAAATTTCAAACAGATTAATCACTTAATTGTAGAAAGAGACTTTTGGACTTATTTTTTCACTGAAATAAATGTTTTTGTAATTACACAGAGTTAAGTACCGAAAAAGGTAGCATTGGGTACCAGCACCGAAATTTGGGTACCGATACAGTACCGGTTCAAATGTGAACGTACCCAACCCTAGCTATAGCTAACTTTCAGTAAATGGTCTGGATTTTGCATGTAAAGAAACTCCTCACCATCAAAGTGGAAGAAGTGGTTATGCTGGTTGAGGTGCGGTCGGGCCTCTGTTCCTGGTCCAGCAGCCATGTTATCATCCAGCGGCTCCCTCTGGCCCTCCTCTCTCTCCCCCCCGCCTTCAGTAATGTTCAGTGACATACGGCACGTGGGACAGGAAGTGTCCTGCTCCAGCCAAGAGCGCAGACAGGAACTGAACAAACAATAAATGGTCAGACTAACGTTTAAAATATTAGAACACTAGAGTGCTGATAATATCTGGTTATTGCTCACTTATGGAAAAGATGGCCACAGGGCAGCTTGCGTGCTGTAGTCATTGAATCCCAGCAGATGGCACAATCGTCGTTATTAGCCAGCAGCTCATCAGGCGTTGCCACAGCAAACCTGCGCACAAGGAGAGGTGCTCATGTCAACACCAAGGTCTGGCTTTGATCAGCCAATGGAGCAGTCTGCTCAATTCTGATTCATAACACACATCGAATAACACATTGAAATATAGGATACACATGAAGCCTATGTTTAGAACTTTAAGGATTTTTGCATTGTGGAAATTAATTATTTTAATGACAATTAAGTCTCTAATACGAAAAATAACTTAAAATCAATACAAATAAAATCACATTCTCTAATACAGTAATGAAAATCACCCAGTCTGAATATGAATATATACAGTGTATATATATATATATATATATATATATATATATCAAAATCTGCATAAATTAAATTCAGTAAACAATGTACTATGATGTACAAATAAATAAATAATTATCATTCAAAGGTTTGGGTTCAGTAGGATTTTAAAAAATTAATCCTTTATGCTTACCAAGGCTGCATTTATTTGATCAAAAATACAGTAAAAACAGTAATATTGTGAAATATTATTTTCACAGCTGTTTTCTTTTTTAATATTGTAAACTGTAATTTATTCCTGTGATCAAAGCTGAATTTTCAGCATCATTACTCCAGTCTTCAGTGTCACATGATCTTCAGAAATCACTCTAATATGCTGATTTGCTGCTCAATAAATATTTCTAAAAATGATTTTAATAATTATCATCAATGTTGAAAACTTTCTATATTTTTCTTTTCAATATTTCTGTGGAAGCCATGATACATTTTTTTATTTTATCAGGATTCAATCATTAAAAGATGAACACAAAGTTTAATACTATTAATTTTAATACTATAAAACTACTATAAAACAATTAATTACTGAACCCAAACTTTTGGATTTGTGAGAATTTAATTACATTCTCATTATTACTGTTGTTATTATTTCAACTGTATAAACAGTTATTAAAATTACAATAATGAAATTCACATTTCAATTTAATTGAGAATTTGAGGTGCAAATAATTTAGCAATTCAAATAATCTATTGTTAACAGGTATAATTTTCTATAACTTCCAATTGTGCAGGGAGATATGACCTGGAGAGTTAGCCTTATTAGCTATAAAAATGTAACTAAGTAGTCATGTAGCAGACAGTGAATACAAAGCAGCTTATCAAGAGTAAGATCTCTGTTCAAAGGCCAAAGGTGATATCTTGTGCAAACATCTGGTTACTAGCCACAAACTTTACCCATTAAGTTATCTACTTCAGCATCTTTACTTAACAGTTGTGCAATAAAATGCAATGCCTGTAGAAATGCAGTTGTTTTATTAGCAAGTCTGAAGCGGATTAGTCTCCTCACCTGGATTCCATATTGTCAATAACACGCAAGTAGTTTTTATGGCGGCGAATTCTTCTCTGCACCTCGTGAAAGAGATAGCGCAGCTGCATAAAGATCACAAGACTAGCCATGGACAACCAGATGTTCCCGAAGAGCTACAAGGGAGTGAGAAACAAGAATACACGATCATAAAGGTACTTTGAATTATTCAAAAACTCTCATCTGAAGACGAAACACAGCCGTGAGAAGAAATTAGGTGTGCCACAGTATTTGCTTGAGGATGTTTGCGACTGATGGGCCACAAATCGCTTGCCAAATCAAGGTCATAACTGTAATCAGCTTCTGACAGATCAGTGAAGGACTCTAATAAGAGTCCAATGAGTCCTATCAGGTCAGATTCATCAATCACTATGGGCCAGTTACACAGCCATGATCACTCATTCTTGTATGTAACCCTCTTTGTCCATTCTTGAGTATGTTTCTCACCAGCATATGGATGTGATGCATCAGGTCTAGGCAGAGGATGGCTAACTCCATGATGAAGTCTGTGTAGTAGATATATGAGCTCTTGTTCTCCCAGGTTCCCTCATGGTTCAGGTCCCACAAGTGAATGGAATACCTGTAAATAACAGATCAAAACCTTCAGATTCACGCTTCTGCGCCCTCACGATGAACGAATCTGATGGTATTCTTAACAGAGCACACACCGTATGATGACGTGTCCTGTGCGCACTGTCACCAGCAAACACTGCAAGGCAGGAGACAAGGTTTGGGGTTGTAATGTGCTTGTGATGTGTCCTCCTCACAGTCGCTACAAAGGTTTGTGAAGTATTCTTACCTCGGCTGCCATGAAAGCGACAGTGTGCATGCCGTGAAGATGTCCGACTAGAGCGCAGAGCCCTGCTAGACCGCCACAGCACGCCAAAACAGATGCCAGCAGAGCCAACACTCGCACATGACTGCCCATCGGAGTAGTGGGAGAAAACGAGAGCTGTCACAGAGAATAACACAATACATAAATATAGAAATGAGGAAATAGGGAAAGGTGGAGGAAGGAGAGATGGACGGAGGGAGGGAAGGTAAATAAGGAAGAAAATAAGGAAGGTAGGGAGTAAATAAGAACAGAAAAGGGGAAAAAAAGTAGGGAAGCAAGGAAGTGAATAAAAAGGAAAGGGAAGGACGAGCTGTGGGAGGAGAAAAGGAACAAAGGAGGGAAGGAAGTAAATAAGAGTGGAGGAAGGAGAGGAAGCAAGAAAGAAAAGGAAGGAAATGAATGAAGAAAATAGAAAAAGAAGGGAGTAAATTAGAATGTAAAAGGAAGGAGGGGGAGGAAGTAAAGAAGGAAACATGAAGGAAGCAAGGAGGAAGTCATTAAAAAAAGGCAAGTAAAAAAGCAAGGAAAGGGGGAAGGAAGTTAGGGAAAAACATGAAGTAGTTGAATGAAAGGAAGAGGGAAAGAAGCAATCCAGTAACAAAAGGGAGCAAATAAGAATGTAATTAAAAAAGGAGGGCAGGAAGTAAAGGAAACATGGATGAAGCAAGGGGGGAATAAATGAAAAAGTAAAGAAGGAAAGGAAGGAAGAAGAAAAGGAAGTAGGAAAGGAATACAGTTAGGTAGGAAGGAAGAAATGAATGAGACAGTAAATAAGGGGAAAAACATGAAGCAAGTAAACAAGGAAGGGAGAAGACTAGCATGGATGGAGGAGAGAAAGAAGGAAATCAGCAGATCAGGAAGTAAATGACAAAGGAAAGGAAGTAAGGAAGGAAACATGAAGGAAGAAAGAAAGGAAGCCGGCAGGGAAAGAAGGTAGGTAGGTAGGTAATTCAATCAATTATTTATCTATTATCAAATGTTTTGAGCCAAGAAAAATATACATAAATATCTTAACCATACTCAGATTCTCCAAAAGATATCTTACAATTTCGTGATTTTTTTTTTTGTATTACATTGGCAGTTAAAGGTGCTGTATGTAAGTTTTTGACTCCACTAAAGCATAAAAATACCATAATATGTTTGCAGATATTTAAGAAGCATGCTAAGTTAACATACTTGTTTATCTGAAAAACAATGCTACAGTCAGTTATTCTCCTTTGAAAATGTGCGTTCCGTGTCGGAATGTCGGTCTCTGTTTTGGTTTGTGAAACCCGCCCACTGCCAGTTTACCCAATTGTATTTCCGGGTTGCCAGTTGGCAGAAAACACAGCGTATTTCATTCATCCAAATGCGCTCGTTCCTGTTGGTGTCTCAATTTGACAACCTGTGTGTGCATCAAGTCTGAGGAGGAGGGGCCAGGTGAAAAAAACCCTCTCCAATATTTTGAATTTGGACTGCAATACCTAGTTCAACCACTCGGTGTCAATCCTACATACAGCACCTTTAAAGCAAATGGTAATGTTTGTCAAAACAGGAAATTCTGAAAGTATGCCACGTAAAACAGGCTAAACGGTTTCCTGAATGAATTTGTCTAATAGTACTTCTATAAATGAAAGCTTCCACTCTTCATGAACATTAGTGTTGATGTGGTAAAGACGTTTTGCTCACATATTCAAAGCGGTCTTTGCAGAGCTGCACCATCAGATGAAGGAAAATGAGCACGGAGAACCACAGACACCACAGCACCACCTCCTCCACCCGCTGCACGTTCAGCACGCCGAAGATGAAGATGAACTTGTAGAAGATGAAGTTCCAGAACTTATCTTGCAGATGCTGGTCAGACAGAGAAGAGCACATAAGCAGACTGACATAAAGATGTTATTCCAGTGGAAAACAATGCATGTCATATACCAATTATATGATGCATATTTAAAAATCTACAGGAACATGTAAAAATGTACACTAGTGTTCAAAAGTTTGGGGTCGGTAAGATTTTTTGGTAACACTTTATAATAACTTTCATTAATACATCATTAACAAACATTATATAATGCTTAATTGATCATTAGTTAATATATATTTAAAGAGTTAGAAATGTGAGATAATGTGCTTGTTGATACACTTATTAAACATTAATGTTCAAACAAATCATTATTTCATCTAAGTTAAAATGCTTACAAATGTCATTAAACTTTCAATTCCATATGATCAAGCACTTATTGAAAATCTACAAATGATTTTAACAGATGTTATATAATGATTAAAAGCTTGTGTTAATGCACAACACTTCTGCTGCTATTGAGGTGTGATACGGGTAAGGTTAGGGACAGGTTTGGTGGTATGGGTTGGTTTAAGGGTTAGTTAAAGGGTCAACAGTGTACAGGGGTCAATTTGATTATTATAAGAGAACAGTTCAATCTGTCTATATTATATTGTTTTGATAAATGAAGTATTTTCTTTTAAAAAATGATTTGTTTTCCCATTTATTTATGATTCAAGGAATATCCTGTTTAATGATATACTGCAGAGTAGTATACTAATGTGAGTGTTGAGGTAATAAAAACATTTTTTTTGCACCAAAATTACAATCGGTTATGTCTTTAGCAAGCATTTAGCTAAACTTAACCAGCCACCCTTCACACAAACCTTACATTAGGTTACATTAGCTAAAAGTCCAATGCCCATAAATATACTTAATGATTAGTAATCGTTCATAAACATTTATACATGAATAGTTACAACTTTAGATTGGCTACTGCAAAAACATGAACAAATGATTAGTAAAGATGTGTGAATAGGGTAAATTCAGGTCTTTCGGGACACTTTTTGTCATCGAGATGACTGCTCATAAAAGGTATTAATGATTAGTAAGCGTTTATAAACATTTGCAGATGATGAATAGTTTCCACTTTAGATTGGGTACTGCAAAAACGAACAAATAATTAATAGATTATTTGTTAAGATGTGTAAATAGAGGTCTACACAACAAACAACGACCAACCAATGAAGATCATAAGAACTGAAAGTTTACTGACATTTCAAAGCATTTCAATTTACATGAAATAATCATATGTTAATCATTAGGTAACGTTTAATAAGTTCATTAGTAAACATTAACAAGAACATAATCTCAGATTTGTAGCTATGTGAATACAGTGGTGTCAAAAGGTTTTTGCCCCCTTCCTGGTTTTTTACATTTTTGCATATTTGTCACACTTAAAAGATTCAGATCATCAAACTAATTCTCTGACCGTGGTTCGCTGGAGTCCCAAAGCCTTAGAAATGGCTTTATAATCCTTTCCAGACTGATACATTTCAACTGTTTTGATTCTCATCTGTTCTTGAATTTCTTTAGATTGTGGCATAATGTGTTGCTCTTTAAGCATGCTTCACTTTGTCAGACAGGTTCTATTTAAGTGATTTCTTGATTCAACAGGTCTGGCAGTAATCAGGCCTGCGTGTGGCTAGTGAAATTTAACTCAGCTTTCTAAAATAATGTGGTTAATTGCAGTTCTTTCATGATTTAACAGGAGGGGGCAATCTTTTCACACCACTGTATATATTAACTAATGATCTGTTAAGCATTATATAATGTTTGTTAATTATTTATTAATGAAAGTTATTATAAAGTGTTATCGAATGTTTTTGAAATAAATATTTTCTGCTCACCAAGGCTGCATTAGATAAAAATACAGTAAAAATAGTAAAATTGTAAATTACAATTTAAAATAATTTATCTATTTTAATATATTGTTCAAATGTAATTAATTTCTGTGATCAAAACCTCATTACTCCAGTCTTCAATGTCACATGATCTTCAGAAATCATTCTAAGATGCTGATTTGCTGCTCAAGAAACATTTCTGATTATTATCAATGACGAAAACAGTTGTGCTGCTTAATATTATATTACACACACAATATACCAACACAGCGTTTCGATTCAGAAGGCCTTTATTGACACCCTGGAGCCGTGTGGAGTAGTTTTATGATGGATGGATGCACTTTTTTCGGCTTCAAAAACAGGGGCACCATTCACTGCCATTATACAGCAGTCAGGACAATTTAAAATATAACTGCGATTGTGTTCGTCTGAAAGAGGAATGTCAGATACGCCTAAGATGCCCCGAGGGTGAGTAAACCATGGGCTAATTTTCATTTTTGAAAATCCCTATTCCTTTAATTTCATTAAAAAAATTAAAAAAAATCTTACCGACCCCAATTTTTTGACCGGTCATACTTTGTGCGTGTGTGTGTCTAAAGATTATAGTCTTCTGCCAGTAAGTACATCACTGATTTGAATTATCTTTCCCCTTTCAGTTTCAAAATCTATCAACAACACTATATGAACAGCAAACTTTTGTTTAGATAAACTTTTGTCCTGATATTAGTATTGCCATCGGTCACTGAAAAGACATGTCATTCAACCATTAAAAAAGACAAATTCAACTTCAAAAAAACAAACAAACACCATAATGGAAGACCGACTAAGGGCGAAATCCAAACTGCTTTTTTGCGCCCTTGAAGGGCATTTCGGTAAGGGGACGCCATTTGTAGGGACGTTCCAAACGAAAGTGAACAACTGAATCCCTTCACGACGGGCCCTTCCAGAAGTCTGTTAGTGAAGGGAACACGCGATGGTCACTTCACGGAAGTGATTTCCGTTTGTGATCATGTAAACTTCGGTTAGGAGATATTTTTTGCTTTTTAAAGCAAAGTTGGGGTTGATTTTGAGTTCACATACAAACATAAATAGAATATTTTAATCCATTTTAATGTAAGACAACATATTTTTCGTCAGTGATAGAAATATGATTTATAATGGTAGTGTAAGCAAGTTTAGTTTGAATAAATAAGACAATTAGACAATATTTGAATAAAATAATAATAATAATGAGAAGAAATATATGCAGGTGCATCTCAATAAATTAGAATGTCGTGGAAAAGTTCATTTATTTCAGTAATTCAACTCAAATTGTGAAACTCGTGTATTAAATAAATTCAATGCACACAGACTGAAGTAGTTTAAGTCTTTGGTTCTTTTAATTGTGATGATTTTGTGTGCATTTAATTTATTTAATACACGAGTTTCACAATTTGAGTTGAATTACTGAAATAAATGAACTTTTCCACGACATTCTAATTTATTGAGATGCACCTGTATTTGCAACAACTGATGGAGTGCTGAATGCTGCATGCACGCGCAGCGGTGTCAAGGTAACATTTGGTCAGTCATTCCCTTCGCCGAGGGAGTTCCAAACGCTTATATTAGACAGTAAGCTTATATGGGGAAGTTGTGGTTAGAGATGGTTAGATGGTTAGAGAGTCGGACTCGTAACCCAAAGGTTGCGGGTTCGGGACTCGTACCAGCAGGGATTGTACTTTGTTTGACAGAATGTACAGCACTCTCTCCCACCTTCAATACCATGACTGAGGTGCCCTTGAGCAAGGCCCCAAACCCCCAACTGCTCCCCGCAGCAAAAATGGCTGCCCACTGCTCCGGGTGTGTGTGTGTTCACTGCTGTGTGTGTGCACTTAGGATGGGTTAAACACAGAGCACTAATTCCGAGTATGGGTCACCATACTTGGCCATGTCACTTTCACTTAAAATTGTGCGGATGTCCCTATCCCTAATGCGGATGTAATGCCCTACACCCTTCAAAGAACACACTTCAAGGGCTCTGCCCTTCGAAGGGAGTAGGGCGTAGGGCATAGCTCACATCCGTTTGGAATTCGCCCTATATGTATCTATAAGGAACTGACAAAATACCTTTTGACAACTTTGGAGTTGTCAAAAATATGTTGTGATGTCAATAATATTATAGTTTGTCTCATTTAAATGTTGCACCAAACACAGACTGTATTTTATCTTATAATCATAAATATATTAACCATATATTCCCTGTTATTAAAAATATAAACACTGCCTTAAATTTAAAAAAAATATATAATGCCTTTTTAATATTACAGTTGGATGATTTATGGTCATTTGCCACAGCGTGCCCCTGATAAATGACTCCTAACGTTACCTGTTTCTCACTGACTCTCAGCGGTCCAAACACGATGCACTGGATCACTTTAGCTATTAACATGAGGATGCAGCACGCTGTGTTCACCATCACCTGCGGGAACATAACAGCTTCTTTCAGAAACAAAAAAAGGTCACGGATCAACCCTTGTGGGTTCTGAAACTACAACATTCAAGCCTTCACATACCCAGACGAAGAGACTGTCCGTGATGAGATACAGCAGCACATTAGTGCCCACGTTACCAAAGCTGTCCAGCTGATCCAGCTGGATCTCCTCCTCTGATGTGCTGTGTGAGTCCTCTGGCAGTGCAGAGGAGTACTCCGAGTCTCTGACTGTGCTGTAGGCACTTAAGATGCTCCCAGCCAGCAGGACTGTGCTCAGAGCGGTGTACGTCTGTAAACTGGGCCAGGGGAACCTCTCCAGAAACAGCAGAGGCATCCTGACGGTTTCTCAGCGTCGGGATTATAGGGATAATTGTCAGTTTTCCTTTTCTGGATGTTGACGGAATCTGCTCTAACGTTACCAATCCCAGTCCAGAAGAAACCAGGTGTCCTTTTATAGACGACAACAGGTTCTCCACAGTCAAATGCAAACTCCTCTTAAATACAAATACATATCAGGATCCGTTTCAGAAGGGCTGTGTTTAACGCTACGTGGCCTTTTCTGTTTACATGCAGGAGACTCCAAACAAACTCGAAAAGACAATATATCGCTATGTATTGTGTTTAAACCCCATTACGGCGAATACAATTCAATTCTTATCATTCGTAAAATAAATGCTTATGTTTCCAGAACATATGGTTATTTTGCATTAGCATGAAAGCTAGCCTGCTTCAGCTGCGCAATGATTAAAGCACGACACACAGCATCAGAAACCCATCAGACGCTCTTTAAAACCGCCACATGCTTGACGATCAGTCTGGTATCCGCTTGGCTTAAATCAAACTGTGAAATATCAGGTCTAGACCTGTTTCTCTGACTGTTTCTAGCACTCTCTGTCCCTCATACCCGTTTCCGCTGCCTCTGACGGCATCTGGCGAACTTCCGGTGATTATGTGACAATGGGCGGGGCTTCCCATGTAAACAAATAGGCTATGAAACATTATAAATAGCACCTATGACTACAAGCCATATTACCCTTACAGAACATAACCATGATAACCACAGTCAAATTCTGCCTAGTTATTATTATGTTGTTGATTAAAGAACAGGTTTTGGTACTAAAATAGCACCTGTATTACCTGTTATAGCCTATTATACTTGTTTAGAGCACCGCACAAAAATTATGGACAATATTTGAACTAGAAGCTCATTATAAGTACATGAATTCAAATTCATTCAATAAATTAATTTTATAAAAGAAAAAAATACGAGTCTATGAAGATTGTCACAAAATGTCTTTTTATGTTCAGTAAAAATTCATAAATACAAAGACATTTCAAGCATTTGTAAAAGTATGAGAAATTATACTGAAGTGCTAGGTTCTTTACAGTGAACTCTTAACAGATTCAAACATGGGATTGTGCTTTATATGCTCGATGCTGCATATTTAGTCTTAATAATTTATTCTAAGCGTCCTATGATTATCATACATTCCAAGAATAGATTTTACATTTACAATCAAAAGGAGAAAACTGAAGACAAATTATTCCAAAAGGATAATAAAAAGGCCTGTCTGGTTAAGGCACATATTGAATCAAAAACTGACCGGTCAATATTTTACATTCACGTTTGATATGCTCAGTTAAAAAAAATAAAATGAAATGAAAGTCTTGATTGAATGCATCCTCTGTTAGGCTGAAAACGTTGTGTACATGGTATTGCTTATAGAAAATAATTTCTACATGTGCAGTAATGCAAGATGCTGAGACCAAAACAATTATAATGAGATGTCCATCCAGTTCTCTTGATTATCAGTTCAGTAGCTGTACTGAAGTCCTATGCAGGATGCACCATTTCCAATGATCTTCTAATCAGTGGGACACTCTGTCCATGAGTGGAGTTATAGCAGACTGTTGGCACTCCCTGAATCTGGAGTTTCGAACAAGTCTCTTACAATGATTTCGCTTACTGTAAAGGAAATATAAAAGCAAATAATTTAATATGAGATGCTTAGGGGTGGATCTCTCTCTCTCTCTCTCACACACACACACACACACACACACACACTCTCTTTGACTTTCCAATAACCAAACAAATCTATTAATACACTTTAAACACACAAGAAGTTATTTACAACATGACATCCATTATGAAATGGGAAACAGAGTAAACAGTGTGGGCTATAAATATATAAGTCAGAAAAGGAAGATGTGCATTTGGACAAGAATCTGTTTGAGCGAAGTTGAAAGACAACACACACACTCACTCTCTCTCTCTCTCTCTCACACACACACACACACACACTCTGGCAATGAAGGGAGCATGATGCCGGACAACAGCACTCACTCAACGGGGGTATTCCAGTCCACTGCACCTGTCCTCTCTAACACAGATAAGTGCTGAGACATAGTAACACTGGGCCAGGTAAAAACGAGTGCCACAAACAGAAATAACACATTCTGCCCTAGGGTTTTGGTTCATTATAAATGTAAATGTTTGTGATTAAAATGTATAATATATAATTAAATATTTAATCTAAACCCATAGTTTCTATATTTAATTAAAAATATATATTAATATTATTGCCATTATTTAATATTTTAAAATTTATAAAAACACTAAATGTAATTTATTTGATTATATGTTATATATTTTTATTTATAAAATCTAAATATATTATACTAGGTATCTCATTCTGCTAAAAACATAAGGTATGGACAGCTTCATTAACAAAGATCAAGTTCAGTCAAAGCCATGTGCTTCTTCCACGTGACTTCTTCCAGGCTAATGGCAGCAACATCTTATGTGAAGTATGTAAGATTGTCACAATACAGCTGTGTAAAACTAGCGGTGGATTAGCCTTGGCGGTATATTTAGCTCTTTCAGTGACTCCATGCAATGCCAGTATACTCTTTCCCACCGTACTGCGGGACAGTGGACTATACTTAGGCCCAAACTAAACAGGCTTCCAGACACTAGGGGTGGCAGCTGCTAGTTTTTTTCTTGAGAGTAAACAAAAAGCCCAGCTAGCATATGCCACAAAGCTAGCACATATTTTGTTATTGCAGCTTGGGGTGAGTTATTGACCCAGCATGAGACACATTAAGTCTGCATTACATTTAAATAGATAACATAGTTAGGAATAAACAGATACAATCACAGTAATATGTGAAAATGTTAATGGCTTGCCTTATTTCTGGATCACTAAAAGCGAACTTGTCAACATCTTTGGCATAATCTTGATTACCAAGTTTAAAAGCAGAAATGAGAAGCCTGTGTGTCTGTCCTCTATACAATTATGTGTTGCTTCAGCAGTAAAATCGTGTTTTTAGTATTGGGATTACTGTTTCGGGTGATTTAGAACAAGACTTACTATTCATTCTTGTGGCTAGACCTTTGAAAAAGTGTTATGTTATTGTTTATTTTAGGGAATCACTTGCCCTATAGACTAGTTTGCTTGTCACAATTCATTTCTGTGGTAATCAACACTGTCCACTTAACTTCATTGCTTTAAAATGGTTCTCCATGGAGTCTTACCATCATCAAGAGTGATATCCTGCAGGCCTATGGACTGAAAGGCTAGCTCTTTCTCTTCCTTGGGTTCCTGTTTAATCTGAAGGCGTTCTCCATCTTGTGACATACTGTAACTTTTGCTGGGCTCCTGAAGAGATGCACCTAATGGCTGAGGGTCCATCAAGCTCTCGCTGATGGACGGTGAGTTAGAAGGCACTTTTGCAAGAGTAGGCTGATGGGAAAGAGGAAGTACCTGGGAAGACGAAGCCTGTGGGAATTGCACAGGATCCACAGTGTGCAGACCGGATGTATCCACATTTGGGCTAGTTAGCACGGATGTATTGGACACAGAGACAGGACCAAGGTTGTGGAGATTTTGACTGTGTTCTGTAGGTATGCCTTGGTATCCTTTGTCTAGTTGAGACCTTGGTTGCTCTGCTAAGATTTGGGATGACTTGCAGCCTTGCAGTGAGCCACCAACCATTGGAAGACTAGGTTGTTCTTTGTAAGACAGATCCTGTTGAGGCTTTTGGTAGAAAGAGTTGTTGAAATCCACCAATGAAGGGTGGAACATAGGGTAGAGGTCTGCTTCAGCATTAAGGCTTCTTTCTGCTGGATGAGAGCGGCTCAGATAGAAAGGATCCTGAGGGGAGTAACTGAGATGGGTGGAAGAAGGAGCACAAACTGTCCCTTCGGACAGCAGCCACTGCTCAAGAGGCTGGACCTCATCTGAAGCAAGCGGGTCTCTGGTGGTGAAGAGACCTCCTTGGGAGGTGGTCGGATGCTGCCCTCCAAGTTCATTGGTGTTAAGGTCCGCCCTTAAGCCAAACTCCTGCTTCACCTGCACTGCTTGGAAGGAGGATGTTCAGCACATTACAGATTAGCTTTATGAGCATTTCGTCTGAAAACATTTGAAAATTGATATACCATCTTGACCAGTTGAGACCTAAATCAGTCCAGTTCTACAGTGATCTCAGACCACATGGTGCATTATACACACAAACTAATCCAATCTCCTACAAGTTACAAGATTGGTTAGCCCAGGGCCAACGTCCTGCAGAGTTTAGCTCCGACCAGCCTAAACACACTTGCCTGGAAGGTTCTAGTGAGTCTAAAGACCTTGATTAGATGGTTCAGGTGTATTTAATTGGGGTTGGAGCTAAACTCTGCGGGACGTTGTCCCTCCAGGAACAAGTTTTGACACCCCTGGGTCAGCCTCTACACTGTTAGCCACCCTGCTCATGGAGGGACAGCTTACTGCAGACCTTCAGTTTCAACCCTGGTCCAACCTGTTATTTATAAACACCTCAACTGCTTCTGGTGTGTTTGATTAGGGCTGGAGCTGAACTCTGCAGGATGGCAGTCTTCCAGATACAGAGTTGGCTACCCCTGCTCTACGCAGCTTCTGAAAGTCAGTGAACACACACTTACAGTGGGCATAGAAAAGAATCACGCCCCTTAAAAATAATCACATTCTGTTGCTTTGCAGCCTGAAATGAAGACGGACAGTTTTGTTGGTTTTTAGGAGGGGGGGTGATCCTTTTTCCAATTCAGTGATTCTGTTTGTTTATTTTTTTCAGACATGTTGGTGTTATATCTTTCACTTGGATGTTATAAGTTGCACTGAGTAAATACAGCTGGATAAAACAAAACTGTGTCCATCTTCATTTCAGGCTGCAAAGCAACAAAATGTGATATTTTAAAAGGGGGTGATTCTTTTCTATACCCACTGGGTCACTTATAAATGGTCATTTTTACCAGTTGTCAGGCTGCTACAATGAATGCTACACAGGACACTGACTTATCTCTTTGATGTTTTGAGTTTGGTTTGAGACTGTTATTAAGATGATCCGATCATAAGAGGTCAGCCGAGATGCTTTAGCATTTCCACCTGGTATTACCATGCGTCTCCTTTGATCACTTGTTTTCAGATTCCAAGGAGACACTCACCTTTTATTTTATTACTCAGGCGCGTTTCCATTAGGCTACCCTTCAAATTGCGCAGATTGAAAATACGCCTAATGGAAACGCGTAAATTTTGCAAAAACGCCCATATATCGCAAAAAAGTTTTTACGCTCGCAGTTTCTCTGGCAATGTGAAAAAGAAAAAATGCTCAAAACTGCAATGGAAACTTTTTTTTTTTTCGCATTTACAGGTCACACTGCATATGTAAAAAGTCATATGATCATTCTTCAATGTACTATAACCTCCAAGAAACACTTCATACGTGGCCGCGCTCCAGTATAAGGGGCTTTTCCCTGCCATTAAAGGGTTAGTTTTTTTTATGGAAGGGTGCTTTTTATTTCACGTCTTTTGGACTGAAGCAATGCAACACCCGCTGAGTGCAACGATAGAGCTTGAAAGATCAAAGACAATTTTAATATAACTCCGACTGGATTCGTCTGAAAGAAGAAAGTCATATACACCTAG